TTTTTGAGTTTCTTAGCGGGGCTTTATAACTTTTAAACGTATTAAAAATTGCTAGCACTGATGCTCTATACAAAACGAGGAAAATTTTCAGGAAAGTGCAGAGCTGAATTGCTAAACAAAAGTGTGGTTGAAATTCTAAAAATATTGTTCGAGAGACATTTCAAGTTACGTTTAGTCGACCCAACTCATCTTGAACTTTGTGCTATAACTATAGCGTGTTTAAGGCAAATTGCGCGGACCGGTAGGTTTTTAACTTGTTTCTTTCTTCAGTTCTAAATATTTAACTTTTCGTTATTATCGTTGTAGCAAATGAAACTTTTATTATATTTATTGAATCAGAAAGCTGAAATGTCCAGAATGTTTGAAAAATTTTTCGTTGAAGTTCAAAAATGAACAATTTTTTATATTTTTTTTGGTTTCTCATGAGCTCATTTTTTTGGTATGCACAAATTTGATTTCAGTCATCTTCAGAAAAATGGTTTAAACAATGCAGTAGTGATACGTTCTCAAATTTCTTATACATGTTTTTTTGAATATGGTGTAGAGACATACTTCTTAAATATCTTATTTGCGACAACGTGTAGGATAGGGTCTTGAGAGGATCGCATACAGTAGACGTAGTGAAGCTGATAGGTGGTTTTTGCTCCTTTATGGATTTCTGGAGAATTTTTAAATGTTTTGACGAAGAACTTTTAACATCAGTGGGATGCCTATTTGTTAGGGAAGTTCTTTTGATTGTCTTGTGGCCTTTAGTCTTTAACTTTTATTTGTGGATTAATTCTTGATTGCATCTTATTTTTCAACAAGTTCTTACAAAGTTTGATGCTCTAAAAGTATAGGTGTAAGCTCTAAAAGCATAGAATTCTAAGAATTCTAAAAATTCTACAAAGAATTCTAAAAATTTCACAAAGAATTCTAAATTTCACAAAGAATTCTAAAAATTTTATATTTTTCCAAGTCACAAAATGGGCCAAAATTCACTTCCGGATGTTCTTCCCAATATTAAAAAGCTGCTTTAAGTTGTCCCGAGTTGTTTCTACAATAACTTTTTATGTTGCTCTAGGAGTGTAAAGATATTGTGTAAAACGTCAAATGTTTCTTGTGTCATTTTTTCAAGGCGGGGTCTAAACGTTTGTTTTCAGATCACCAATCTCTTGCGGCTTTCACACTACACCTTTGAACCTCTCACTGAAAAAAAGTTCTTTTTTTTCTTTTGTTTTAAGTGGGAACCCCAAGCGCCAAAATACCTGCTGAGTTAGCTTTTTTGCTGCTTATAACAGTTATACTTCTTTGGTTCTAAATTTGAACTTTTATACCATTTAATGACTCTCTCACCAGAAACTTTTTGTCTTTCAACACACCGCTTTATTTTAGATAAAGTAGATACTATGAATTATTCTTAGAAATACTTTTCTGTGAAAAGAAGTATGAAAGTACTACTATTTAAATACGCAAGGATATTATTTTTGTTCAAGAAACAATGTGACTTTTGTAGACCAGAATAAGTTAGCGGTTTTTAAATCTTTGATACTCTTGTTAACGATTTAAGCACCATACTTCTGTCTCAAAGTAATTTATTTTTCTGGAGCTCGTTTTATTTTGACGAAACCGTAGCTTTGGAGTTCTAATTTTACTTGGTTTTCTTCAAAGTAATAACGCTGAATTTTGGATATCTACTTTCAGTTAACTGCTTCGGAACAGGCTTTTTTCTTTCCAGTTCTTTGCAGCCATCTACTACTGCGTGTATTTGCTTAAACAAGTGGGAAGGTAGGCGTCGGTAATATGGTAGAATAAAGGAGATAAATAGGGTTTCTTATCGCACATATTTTAATTTATTCTTTAATGGACATATCTGCAAAGTTTTTGCAATTTTTACTTTTTGCTTCGCTGGATTATGAGCTTGTTTGGAATTAATTTGTTGGTTGGAGTAAATGTCAGACAGTCATGACACTCTCAGGAAAGGAATGTATGTTATGGCGGGGCAAACGGCAGGATTTTTTGCAGCGGGTTGCAGTTTTTTTGAATTAGACCGCTTGATAGATTCTTGCGTTGGATTTACCAAACTAAAGAAGATATTTTGGAGATTGAATTACTTTTGAAATTATCTTTCATAAAATTTGTAGGGATTAACAGTTTTTAATTTGTCACACCCAAAGCAAAGAGCCCTTAGCTTCATTTTGATTAAAGCATTATAAGTCACAAAATAAGAGTAGTCGAAAACAAGCTGAACTGAATATAAAGATTTGTTGAAATAATAAATTGCTGATAGGAGGAAGTGAAGTAAAGCAATAAAACTTTTTAACTTTCGGTGCATTCAGAGTGACTATGTAATGTCACACAGGTTTCTTGTCTAACTGGTGAAGAAGGAGAATAAAAGCCTGAGAGACGTTCATTTGTGCGACATAAGTCACGTGAAATAGCACACTTCTTGAAAAGCAGTTTTTCTTTCCACTTTTTGAGAAGGCAAACTAGGCAAACTTTGAGTAGTAGCGCGTCGCACTAGGCTGCTGTCTAGTGCGCTAGAGAGAGATGAATCTTAGTTAATGTTGAACTCGTCCCACTTAATTTGGTGACCAAACGCTTAACCACTCTGCCACTCCTCTCACGGAGTGGGAATTGAATGTTAATTATGTATTTTTTGCGAACAAAACAGCCCTTCCACGAAAGACAGAGCCTTCTGTAACAAAAAAAAGAAAGTAAAAGGCCAAGAATTGTGTGCAGAATTTCATGGTCATTTAAAGCCATTATGCATATCCTCAGATTTAAAGGTCTGTGGCCTTCCTGCTAACCGATTTATTTCAGATTTATTTGAGAAGCTTTATTTCTTTGCTTAAAATATCTCTTAAATCATTTGATAAGTACAAAATTTGGACAGCAATTTGATACAAAACATATAAAAAATAAAACTTCTTGAAATTGCAACTTGTGTTTAACATAGAATTTTTGTTTTTGTTAATGTATTGAAATCTTGGTACAGAGATTGGACAAAATTTTGAATATTTACACAAAAAAAATGGCGAAACATTTTGTCTTTATCTTTTTTTTTAAACACTTTGTTATGAAGATTTTAGTTACATCAGGAAGTTGAAAAGGCAACATCTTTGGGGCAGTAAAACTGTACCGTAATGTAAACATACTTAGAATTTACTGAAAACATAAGAGTTCAAACTGATTTACCTTCCCCTCCATTTGGTATCACGATTTTATAGGGTCCCCACATAAAAAAAGTAGTGTGCTGTAGAATAGAAGATTCTAGATAAGTTGTTTATTGAAAAGTGAGGGATTTTTTTGATATACGTTTTCGAACCGAAAAGCACGTGCTATGGTTTAGAATCACCATAAAGTTCTTGATGTAGTTCTTACTTTTTATTTTTGATAAGGGATGTATTTTTTTTTTTGTGGAAGTGTTAGAAGTGGTTGTGTAATTGTAAGGGTTGTGTAATTTTTTATACAAAAAAAATTAGATCTGTCAAGATTCATTTCATTCTTGTGCGTCGGTTAATTGACCGGTGTGATCCTCTATCACTTAGACTACAGTTTGCCACTACCTAAGAAAGAATTAAGTGGCAGAAGCAGAAGACAGATATTGAAGAGTGTCATTTTCACACAGAAGATCTCGTGCTAATAGGCGTTTGCTGGAATTTCACTTTTTTGCTTTATCAGTGAGGCAAGTATGCGGGGCAGCAAGACCGTGTATCGTTGTATGTTATATACTGCAACATAATTCTTGATTAGTTGAAAATACTAGATTTCTTGTCATTTCATTCCACTCTTGTTCTAGCAGTTTATGAGTTTTTTGTTCATTTTTTTATTTATCTGGCTTATTATGGAAAATGCAACTCTAAATAAAAAAATTTATCAGAAAAGAATGTAGAAGAAAAACCTTTTTTGACATTTTTTAAATTTCGTTGTAGTGTAGTTGGAGTCATTTTCTAGTTTTCTAAACATCGTATTATGACTTAATTAAACCAGAAACAACATTCTGTTGGAGAAACCGTAAGTCTTTATATTTTTTACAAGATTGCAGTATTTTACCGCCTTCCAAAGATAAAAAGTTGCAATTTGACATTTTTTTTTCAACGTTTTTGATAAGCTCACCTACCGGGTGTTGAACTACTTTTCGTTACTTTTTCTGCTAACGTCTTTTTTCACATAGTAAAATCTTGAGTTTGCAATGTTTAAAGAAAGTTTCTCTCTAGGATATATCTTGATCTTTCTTGATGTTTGAAATCTTTATTTGGTGAAAGTCGTTTCACTGTTAATTGAATGTGTTTCATGAGTTTATTTACAGATCTTTTTGTTAGGTTTCAAAAGAAAATTTTTGTTGGTGAAAGTTTTTGTGTTGGGTATTGAAAGAGGAGTCTGCTTACCTGCAAGCAATTAATTCTCTAATTTATTTTGTTGTAGGCCGGATATTGAGAATCAGCGTTTGGTGTTTTTTAATTTTAGAATTGAATAATACTGCTAATTTCCTACACGGCTTGATTTAGTACTTATAAGAAAATGGTAAATAAACTTATTGCCTGTTTTCGGGCATTTTCTGATAGACGTTATTTAAAGTTATTTGGAGTCTTGTTTTCCCTGCAGGAAGCAAGCAAAGGAAAAGTTTTTTTTTTGGTATCATAAAATCGAAGAACAACTTTGTACGTATACTTCACCTTTAGTCTATTAGCTCATTAAATGGATTGATAGACCACTGTTACCAAGCCTTTAATTGGTATTTTTATGCAATTTATGCACGTTCCACCGACATTAAAAATTCTCTTTCTCTTATCTTTTCATAAATTTCTTTTGGGGCTTGAGCTTGGTTGCACAAAGGTCGGTTTGGTTTAGTCGTTTGATTACTGTATTACACCCACATAAACGCTTTCTGAGCGTTTATGTGGGCGTAATACAGTAAGCAGAAAATTTTTGATAATTTTTCCCACTTCTTTTGTCTCAGTTACTCCTAATACATTATCTGTTCTTTGCTGACTACAGCTTCTGGGCGAAGAGAATTAATGGCGAAAGACGTGAGGGTTTTGTGTGAAAATGCCATCTTGTCTATTAATGAGGATCAGAAGTTTCTTCCTCAAAAACAGAGTTCGCTTTTGACGCCGCTGCATCAGTTACAGGTTATTTGCTTTAAATATTAAAAGATCCTCTTTTATGCCTTCTAAATTCTTAACGTCTTTATGGTTGCTAAGATACAAAGTGCTGTAAGAAAAATTTTTAATATTTGATTTTTCTGCTTTGTTTGGAACGAGATAGATACGTTTTTACGAACATCTTTTTGAAGGGTTTGCTTATTTTTATGCTTTTTATATATTGAATTTATTACCTGAATAGTGTTCTTGGTTTCTAAAGGAATTAGTTGAACCAAGATCTTTCTTTTAATTATTTAATTAAGTTTGCGTCCAGCTTTTAGGATTCTTTATGCGCTTTATGCGTTAGATGTGTTCCGCTTTTACCGTTCGCTATTAATCCTTCCTCTGCTTTGCCACTAGTTTTTGATCTTCCTCAAAGTGGTAAAACTTCTGACCGTTCCAATAAGTGGGTCGATTTGTCAATTTTGAAATAATTTATCTTCTGCATTTACCAGTTTATCTACTATTAGTTGAACAATTTCTCTTGCTAGAAAATATTAAATGCAGCTCAAGGGAGCGTCAAAAAAAACTTTAATTTTTGCAGGGAGAGAAGACAAGATTTGCAAAGGTTACGTATCGACAGATTTGGCACAGCCGAGAACAGTGGTTCTAGCAGCGGTGAGAACCTTGTTATATGTGCATAGTAAATTTGAGGGTAGATTATTTTAACGGCATTTTTCAGAAGATGAGGTTGAAAATTTGGAAAGTGGGATAATGTGCAGTTCTTTGGGCGTAGATGAGCCACCTTTTGTGGGAGGAAGTTATAGAGAAAGCAGTCGCAAAAGTTCTAAAACGCTTAATTTTTCTCGAAGATCTGTTAGTGATTTGGAAGCTAACTATGCACATTTATTTGGAGAATTTCACGAGATGAAGGATAACTTTAAATCTGAAGGACCTTCTAGAAAGCCATGGTCAGATTTGTTCAAACTTCATGCTCAGGTTAATGAGGAACTTTTGCAGTTATTTTCATTTTTAGTAGCTCTATAGATAGTCTGCCTGCTCAAAAATATTTTGCACTTTAAACTTATTTCAAGTTGGCTACATTATAAAGTATAAAGAATCATTTAGTTTTTGTTCATAATGTTTTCATTTTTCCTTTTCAGCAAACTCGAGGGGTGATTCCTTTTGTTAAAATTGCATTTCCTGAATTTGTCGCTCAGAATATCGAATCCAGTCATTTTTTGCTGAATGAGGAGGATGCATTAAATAAGCATGTTCTAGTTTTGGTTTTTTTTTTTACTTTCTAACTGAATTTATTTTAAAAATTTTTGCAATTGAGAAGAATTTATCATTTTTTGGTGATTTTAACAGTATTTCTGTGTTGAGTATATGTATCTTTTTCTGCACCACATGTCCTAACAGTATGCATGTTAAAGTCCCTTTTTTATTGCTTTTCTTTAGGAATATTTGGGTTCAGCAAACTCTTCGTACTCGTGAAAATACAAATTTTTCTAGTCGTGTCGTATATGACTTAGACCAGTTAATTATTAATTCGCCTGGTTGTCCAACCAGAGAATTGAACAATGATGACTTGAAAAGGTTGAAAAACTTTTACGCTTTATTTATCTGCCTTTGAATCTAAAGAACTGGAATCAGAAAATTGCTAAGATTATTTAACAACATTTGAAAAAAACGTTTTAGACTTTTTTTCTTCGCAAAATAAAGTGGTTTTTGGTTAAAATTTGCTTTGATTGCTGATTATTTCATTTTAAGGATTGGTTCTATAGATCCTGCTACAGACCACTTACTTTTTGAAAGTCGTTTTGAGGGAGGAAATCTTCGCAGAGTTACTCAGGTTAACTTTACTTTCAATGGATTTTTTAGCATTTTTTTCAGAACTCATGCGTATTGTTTTTGGTCACCACAAGTAGGTGGCAAGTCAAAGTCTTTGGTGATATTTGGCTGGTCTAGATTTTGAATTTTTCGATCACTTGGTTATTTTACTGTAGCAGTTTGATTTTCTAAAAATCTTAAGTTGGAAAGCACTATTCTTATTACTGATCAAAAAATGACGAAAACAGTTGACATCTTAATAAAATGTTTAGAATTAAGGGGCATAGTGGGTTTGTTCTTTATAATTACCTGTTTAACAATGTTATTAAAGTCTTTGGCTAAAATTACCTGTTAGTTTAGGTAGGGCCGAGGCATTATGAGCTGATTATTTCTCCGGATTTAAATCAGAAGAAACCTCACTTCCAATGGTTTTACTTTGAAGTTTCAAACTTGGAAGCCAGAGTTCCATATGTATTTGAAATAGTTAACTGTATTAAAAGTTCATCTCTGTTTTCATCAGGTGCTTCTTCATTTTGGGTATTATAATTTTATAATATTTAAAGATATTATTTATAGATGCTTTTATATCATTACCACTTTGATAACATTTCCTTCTAATAGTTTTTTCTATCTTTATTAATTCTTTAACACTGGGAGTAATCTTTTGAAGGAATGCAACCTGTGCTATTTTCTGTTACTGACTTCGTGCAGAAACGTTCTGGATGGTCTAGGGTCGGATCATCTGTTTGTTACTTTCGCAATAACTATGTTTCAAATTTAGCTAATGTTGCAGAAGCACCATTAACTAAACAGAAGACAGGTAGCAAGAAGGGAAGAGTATCAAGTTTGAGGTATGCTCTTCTGCATCTTTTTTATTTTTGAGCTATGTTTCTATTTCACATGAAAACGCGTTTTTAATTCTAGGATGGATTACTTGTGAAACTTTTTAGATGTTATTACACCACAAAGTTTGAACTGACCTTTACCAATCCTGGTGATATATGCTACATATCTTATCACTTCCCTTACACTTATTCCTTTCTTCAGGTAATATTTTTTGTCTTAATGTTATAATCTAAGTGAAGAAATCTGACTATTTTTTCAGACTTCTCTTAGTGTTATGATCAACAGCACAAAACTTTTCGTTAAGAATATTAGTATTGTTTCGGAGAGGCTTTGTTACTCCTTGGCTGGAAATTCGGTCCCACTTATTACAATTACTGGTCCAGGAGACGCTTTGAGAGTCAAGAAGCGTGAAATTGTGATATTTTGCGCCCGGGTTCACCCTGGAGAGAGTAATTCAAGTTGGATGATGCATGGTAAAAACGAAAATGGTTTTCATCTTCGTCTGGTGTTTTAGTTTTTTTCAAAAAAAGGAGTGTTTGGCTAAAAGTTTCAGTTTATTGTTACACTCGAACACTTTTTTTGCGCTAGTAGCTGTTTGCCAATGATAGAAGTTTTTTGATTTTATTAAGGGTTTTAATTTCTTTGCAACATTTTGTTCAGCTAAGATGGAAATAAATCAAGCTTTTAGGCCAAAACTTTTTATTTGGAAAGTTATAGTTGACTTCAAAAAATTGAAGACATTGTGGCGAAAAAAAATTTTTCGACTCTCAAAAAGGTGAAAAATACCATTTTGAGCTCTGTGTTTCTGCAATTATGCTATTGGTTGTTGTGAAATTCCCGGTTTGAAGGAGTCCTCGAATATTTACTCAGTTGCGTCCCAGAAGCTGTTCACCTCCGCGAAAACTTCGTTTTTAAGTTGGTACCTATGCTGAATCCAGACGGTGCAGTTAACGGTAGTCACCGCTGTAGCCTTGCAGGAGTTGACTTAAACAGAGTTTGGGACGAACCGTCACCAGATTTGCATCCTACTATTTTTCATACTAAAGGAATAATTCAGTATTTGGTGATTTCTAATTTCAATTAGCTATATTACAGAAAATATGTACTTTAATTTTTTTTAAAGTTGCAAATTTTGCAAAATTTAGCCTATTTTTAACGAGCTATTATTTTATTTACAGGTTGATGTTTTGAAGAAGCCTCCTTTAGTAGTAGTCGATTTTCATGGTCACTCTCGTCGATACAATGTGTTTATGTATGGGAATAATCCGGAATTGTCTTGGAAGTTATCAGACCAGTCTCTGAAGCATAACTATGAATTTATGGCACTTCCCAAAATCCTTTCTGAGGTCTTGAAACTAATCAGTTTTACAAAAAGTTTCTTCTTCAACAACTTTTTGGAGTTTTTGGCTTGAAGTTTCTTGAAGAAAAAAGACTTTAGAAAGGCAAACGATAGTCATTGTGCTAATACTCTTCTTTCTTGAATTTTTAAATCACATTTTTACTTTTTAGGAGTCTTCATTTTTTTCGTTAGTGGACTGTGGGTTTGGGATCACTAGAGGTAAGGAATCGTCTGCGCGAGTCGTTCTTTGGCGTCAATTTCACTTACCTTTTGTGTACACCATGGAAGCTAGTTATTGTGGATTTGACCATGGGAAGAATTCCGGAAAGCAAGTTGGTTTTGAGGCAGCAAGCGTCGTTGTTTACTTTTATAAAATACTTTCTCGGATTCGCAAGGTTTTTTCGACGTTGAACAAACTTCTTGCAATTTACGATGGTGTCATTTTTACAGGTAAGCATAGCACAATTGAAAGACCTGGGTCGAAGCTTGTGTCGTTCAGTTGCGTTTCTTAAAGCACATCTTGACACGCCATCGCAATATTTGCCTGCGGAAGGTTCAGCAAAGCTGAAGCACGGATCATGTAGCAACAGCTTTTTCACTAGTGTTCATAACAGTAGTGGTTGATGTAATAAGTTACTTTCTGTGTCCGAACGACATATGTAAATGATGTAAATATGTTTCTCAACTCTTTAGGCACTTTTCTTGATCTCTTTCGCTAAACTCATCGGGAGTTAGTACCTTGATAATTTAAAGTAAGTAAAACGTTTTAAATGTTTACTGATTGGCGTCATTGTTGATCGGCTAATGTTTAGGAATGTGAAACTGCTTTTTTACTTGTATTTACTTGTTGGTCATAGAGAGCAACACGTAGTGCTGGTGTTCCTCAAGTGGGACCTGCACTATTTTTTTTGCACTATTTATTTCTGTTAAGCGTTTGCTTATTCTTATTTGACAACTCATTGATTAATGTATATATGTACAGGCTTTGAGAGACGAGTACAATACTTTACCTCTAGTTATATGAGTCTTGAATTGGATGACCATGAACTACGACTGTATTTATTTTTCTCTGCTATTGCATTTAAAAAAATGAGCTTAAATTTGATTAGAATGTTTTTTTTAATATTAATGGTGCTGTGCTGATACAATTAAGAAGGAATGCTGATAGTCATTTGCTTTCAAAAATTGTTTTTTTTTTTTGTTTTATCCAGAAATAAATTTTTTTTGAATTGTTATCGGAAAACTGCATACTGAACTTTTTATTTAATAGGCAATTCGAGTTTTTTTTAGAATTAGCAGTTTATTTTTCTTGAGTTGCACACAATTTTTAAAGCAAGTGTTTAAGTAGAAAGGAAAAGAGAATTGAAGAGAGCTTTTGCTGCTGTTCGGTGACTCGGTACAAGTTTTAAAAATTTTTTCCTACAAGGGTTCAGTCGAAGCGTTTCTGAGGCGACTGCAATATTTATAATTCTGATGCGGTCTCGCTGACATGGTTGGGGCTTGAAGTCCCTTTGTTAGACTTTATTTTTTGAAATGATGTTCAGCTGTTTAACAATTATTTTTTTGAAGAACTGTAAAAAAATCAGTTATCAGTTCTGGTTCTGAATATCTTTGGCAAAGTCTGGCAACTTCTACTTTTTTTTGGTGGGGATTACAACGTAATCGATTATTGAACCTTCTGCTATTGAGCATTAAGATCTGACTACTTGGGAATATCATAATACTTTTTTGCTTTCCCTGAAAATTTTTAAATAACTACAGTTTTGTATCGGTTTTAACATATTTGCCTACGTTTTAGTTATAACCTTTACATCTATTTTTTGTTACAGTGCAGTCCTTTGTTTTATGTGGCATCCAAGAAAGTTAATTAGAAGGCTTTAAAGTTCTAAATAAACAGTGGTTAAGCAACAATGCCATCCCAGTACTAAAAAAGCTTTACTATTCTTACTACCGTTTTATACAGCAACCAAGTATTTCTTGATTTCTTATTCATTGATTTCTTAATCATTGATTTCTTATAAAGAATAGTGTAGCTGGTAGTATATTACTCTTCAATCGACTTAGTTTTTTCTAGCATACTTACTGAGTACGGTTTTTATACCGTTAATTGCATAATAATTTTTAAACTGCAAAAAACTATGCTACTCAGCTTTTGGCTGCCAATAAAAAAACAGTTGAACAACGACCAGCAATATTTAGCAGTATCTGTCTGTAGATATAAGCGGAGCTCAATCAAATGCAGAAAACACGTGTATTGGAAAGTCAATGAAAAAAAGCGTCAGAAAACCTCTAATGAGGTAAATAACTGGCAGTACATTATTCTTAGGTCAACTTGCTTTTCTGGTTCTAAAATATCAACGGTTAGTTCGCATAAGATTAATATAGGCTAGCTAAGAACTTTAATCTTTGAGTTAAATGACTGTTTTATGGTCGATATTATGGAGTATAGTTTTTCTGTAAATTATGTAAAATTTTTTTTACTTATTTTTATAAACTTTGAATGTTTAAATGAGGAATTAAAAAAAATTGACTTAGAACTTATATAAATTGGTTTTTTCAATATTTTGTGCTTTTTCTGGAGAAATAAATTTTTTAAAATTGAAGGACTGTTGGGTGAAACACACCTGACACATTGCTTTTATCTTTAAAAATTCTTTAATATTCTAAATAAGGCACTTTATACAGGTACAGTTTTTTATTAAAGTCCAAAAATTCATTCGCCATCTACGACAAATGGAGCGCTTCAAAATTGCAGCGATTAGCGAGAAAATCAAACGATACAGTTTCAGTACGAATGAATGAATGAAATAAATTGCTGTTTCTACAGTCAAGAAATTATGGCTATCTGACGCTAGCGACAGTTTGAAGCTTCTCTATTTTTTAAATAAAAATCGACGTTTTAATGACCGGTTTATGTTGTGGTTTGTAACTGCAGTAGAAAAATAAAATGCCAAAACAGTTAATGAATTTTTACTGCTGTTAAACAGCTTCATCGCCATTCAGTTCTACACCTTTCTTTAAGCCAAATTTTTTGTTGGACATTTGTTGATTGTTATTATTAATAAAATATAGTGGTGGTGATCAAATCAATTAGTAAATTGCAAAAATTTATTTCGATATTTAAAGTTATTTGAAGCGTTAAATAACTTTAAAAATGCTTTATTTATGGTTGTTGGTCGTGGTTTTTATATCATCATCAATCGCTCTTGGAGTTATTGACGATATAGCCTCATGTAAAACTGATGATGGGAAACGGATAGAAGCAAAAAAAATTGTTTTTTTTTACACTAGTTAAAGAACAATTATGGTTAATCGATGGTACATTTAAATGGGAAATATTTGGCAACAATTTATTGATATTCAGAATGTTTGAACATTACAAAGGTTTGATTTAACACTGACAAGTGTTATTTTTTTCGGGGGGGAGGGGAGGGGGGTAAACCAACAAACACCTTAATATTATTTAAATTGACTACCTCATCCTGTGATTTTTTTTCTCTACCGTTTGAATCTGCTGAAAAAGATTGTATGTTTGTGGCTTTTTTTTTTCAAATATGCATTTGATGGACCTCAAAATTAATTTCTGTTATTAATTCTAACCAAACAACAAAGATGAACTGCAGACAACCTAGTTGTGAACAGTTAATTGTGTTCGTGTTTGGTCTCTAGTCATCACTTAGATGAAACTAAAATGCTTAGGAACAGTTTGCAGATGCGTTAAAGGTAATTGGTAAAAATCTAGTGATAATTAGAAAAAAACAAATATTTGATATTATAAACGATCTATTAGCAAAAAAGATGTCACCGCTTATTTGCATAGAGTACTGTTGGCGATGTGACCGTTGGTACTGCGATACAGAACTACGACAACCGTAAAAATGCTGCTAAGTCATTGAGGAAAAAATTATAATAAAGCAACTTTGATGAATCTTATGATTTTGTTGGCGTACAAAAAAAAACCTAAATTAGCATTAAAACTTTTTGTCATCATTTTTTATACGTTTTGTACTAAAAAGTCTGTTGTTACACAACAGAGTGGTGATTAACTGGAAGTACATTTAGCTGAAATATATCTACAAAAGTGTGATGATCCTCTAACCATCAATAAACTCTTTAAGTCACATACAATTTAAAAAATTATGACGATATTAACGAACAGAGAAGTGAATAAAAAATTAGAGAGAAAATTTTCAAAAATTTATTGGTTCGAAAAAAAAGCAAGTTTTTTTTAGTAACTTACAAAACTTTCACTTATATTATTATAGCTTTAATAAAACATTCATTTCTGTTGTAGTTGAAGCTATTAGAAGCATTAAAATTGGTTTCATATTTAAGAGGAAAATATGTTTGTTTGATGGCTGCTGAAATGATCAACATAAACGATAAAAAAAAAAAAAAAAAAGTTTTCTCAAAATTTGTGGCATATCATTTTTAAGTATTTTTGGTCAAAAATTTTTGGACAATACAACTAAAATTTAGAAAATTTTGTGAAAAATTGAAAAAAAAAAGTCAAAAAAAAAGTGAGAAAAAACAATCTGTTGTAAATTCTATATGAGGAATTTTCTTTTTATTGTATGCTATAAAGATAAAAATAGTAGTAGCAAAGAAAAAAGTTTATAACTTTTTTACCCAAACTGAAACTGTTATAGATTTTTACTAAACAAAAACAACAAGAAACAGATTCGGAGGCAGTCTTTTTGTAACCTTGTGACTCCACTCAACTAATGACTTCTGAAATTTACTTAATAGCCAAATGTCTTTTTTGCTTACTCGTTTTTAAGAAATAAAAAAAGATATTTTTTTAGTATTTAAGATGGCTAGACGTCTGAAAATTGATAAACAAAAAAGAAAACAAAAAAACAAACTTCTGAATAGATTTGGAAGTTAGCTGTTTAAGCAACAGATACCGATTCATACTGTGACATTATCGTTCAGTCGCAGTGATTGCTTCTAAAGTCAAAAAACGAGAAAGAATGGCTCTAAAGAATAGTCTTTACTAGTCAGGAACATTTCAGTAAACTGACTGTTCATTATGAATGTTTAGTGATCAACCGATCAAAATAGTATTTTTTTCTATTCGAGACCAACAAATTAACAGAAACTTTGCTTGTATTACCAAAAAAAAAACTAAGAAGTTTTAAAATTTGTAAGCAAAAAAAATTTTTTCTTTTACATACTAAAACCACTGCATTTTTTTCTTTTTTTTTTTTTGAAAAAATTTTCATTGACAATAACCTATAGCAGATTTTATGTTGATTTGAACGATAATTGAAAATTGCAGTATAAATTAGTTAGTTGCTTTTTTCCCTTTTGAGCTTTCATTTTTCTTTTTTTAACCAAAGAGCTTGACAACTATAAGGCTTGATGTTGATGAGTTAAAAGTTTAAAACGACAGATTTTATTCAGCAATTTATAAAGTCAAAACCAATTTATTAAAAAGAATTCAAACGACCAGTAACAGACAGAACTAAAAATTTCAAAGTTTTCCGTTTTTCGTTAACGAGTGAAAAAATAACAATAACAATTAAAAAAACGTTTTTTTTTTTCTACAAATAGTGTTTTCAGGGTTGCGTAAGAAAAAAAAGAGACAGATTTATGAATAAAAACAATTTTTTTCTATAAATAATAGAAATGGTGATCCATTAGTTGTTTATTTCACAGTTTTCTGTTTCCATCTTTTACCGTTTTCCTGTATTCTGTTGAAAACAAAACAAAAAACAATCGTTGTCAACTAGATGCCAACAGTAGCGACAACAGCAGCAGTACCACCAACACCGCCGCCGGCTACAGCAGCAGTAGCAGCAGCAACAGCGGTGACAAAAGGACAGGACAAATAAGAAAAGAGAGCGATGAAAGAAGACGTCGAAGAAGAAATGGTAGAAGACGATGATGGAAGTAAAAGAGGAAAAAAAAAGAGATAAAATGCTGAAAATGCCCCTAAAATAACAAACATTTTATTGAATTAGTGTCTTAAAAGACAGCAACTATTGACAGTGTGCCGAGCCTCCTCCCAGCAACATCACTTAACCACCAAAACGTTGTTCCGCCTTTGAAATTTTTTAGGGCCGGCAGGTTTACTACGGTAGAAGGGCAAACCTCCGCCAACGTTTGTTGCTTTTTCAGAACCATAAACCATGGAGGAACAACTCACTAATGGTCTTTTAAACACAAATCATGCAATTTGTTCGCTGATTCAACGAAGTGGTCTGTTCTTCATATTTTCTATCAATTTATCTACCTATCTATCTATTCATCTATCCCTATCCATCCGTCTATCCATTCATTCACTTATTTATTCATTCATACGTTTATTTATTTATCCACTCATTTATTCACTCATTTACTCATTTATTTATTCATTTATTTACTCACTCATCTATTCATTTGTTTACTCATTCATTTATCTACTTATCCATTTTATACATTTACTCATCTATCTGTCTATCTATTTATCTATCTATCTATCTATCTATCTATCTA